CCCCAAAACCCCAAAACCCCAAAACCCCAAAACCCCAAAACCCCAAAACCCCATCATGAAAGTATGGCGGAAAATTGAGGAAAGTGAATATGAAAAGACAAAAATGAATAAGGCAAATTACAAAGTATAAACTTAATTATGTCATAATAGGGCCAAATATTGAGCATATCAGTGATGTGGTGGTCAATCAGATTCTTGTGGCTGAGAGGCGTTTTCACTCTCTGAATCAGACTCAATGTCAAGGTCGTCATCTGACTTCTTGGACTTTCCCTTAGCAGCTCCCTTCTTTCCCTTTTCACCAGACTTCTCAGATCTCATACTCTTGTTGACAGCTGATGATCTCTTCTTGGCTTCCTTCTTCTCAGATCTCTGTCCTCTCTTCTTCTTGCCAACGACAGCATGGTCACTACTCTTGGTTCCATCGGCCATGATAAAGTAGCCTTTGGTTTGGAGTTCCTTGAGTTGCTTCTCATACCTTAATATCAAATAAGTCAAACTCAAAATTTACCTCTTCACATCATCATCGTGCAGCTTGTCGAATGGCTTCTTGTCATCAGCTGACAATTTGCCCCAAAGTTCACCAGCCTTTGACATAGCTTCCTTGTGGCTCAAACCATCATCCTTCTTGATCTTGGGTACCATCTCATTAGAGAAATAGATGTATGAAGAAATAGCTCTTGTGGGCTTGAGTTTCTCCTCCTCAGGCTCGGATGCTTCGTCCTTCTTGCCTTTTCCCTCTAAAATTCATGATAAGTTTCAAATTTTAAAAAGTTAAGAAAGAAGTTGCTGTTAGCCATTAAATTTCAAATGTTTAGTACTTACTCTTCTTATCCTTGACCTCGCTGGCAGTTTGCTCCTTCTTCTTAACATCAGTTGAGGCTGACTTCTTTCCCTTAGCCTTGGCATCTGACTTCTTGCCCATTGGTGACTTAGATGCTCTGGTGTTGCTCTTGCTCTTAGAACCTGCCTTCTTCTTATCGTCCTTTTTGGAGACAGATCTTGGTTTTCTCTCTGAAGTTTTTCCTCCTTCTACAGCTTTGACTTGTTTCTTGCCCTTGTCCATTGAACAATTTGAAATTTAAATTTAACAATTATAAAAATTTGATTATAGTTTAAATTTCTCTTGACTCAATTTTTTAAATAATACATCTTAAGGGGTTTTGGGGTTTTGGGGTTTTGGGGTTTTGGGGAGATCGGAAGAGCACA